GGCGTCAGAGTGAGACTCCAACTCAAAAAAAAAAAAAAAAGCACTCATGTTCTATGAAAAACATTGTTAAGAGACTCAAAAGACAGTCCACAAACTGGAGGAAAATATTTGCAAAACACTTATCTGATAAAGGACCTGTATCCAAAACATGTAAAGAACTTTTGAAACTCAACAGTAAAAAAAAGCAATCAGATTTTAAAATGGTCAAAAATCTGAACAGACACTTCACCAAAGAAAATATACCGATGGAAAATTAGCATTTGAAAATATATTAATCATCATTTATTATTAGGGAATTGCAAATTACAATAATGAAATATCACTACATACCAATAAAATGAAATTTTAAAACACCTGACATCAATTGCTAACAAGGATGTGGAGCAACAGGAAGTCCCATTCATTGCTGGTGGAAATGAAAAGTAGTACCACCATTTTGGAAGACAGTTGTGTGATTTCTTACATAGCTTAATGCAGTCTTACCATACTGTCTAGCAATCAAATATATTTTATTGGTTTGAAAACAAGTTATTGACCTGAAAACTTATGTCCATAGAAAAACCTGCATGTGAATGTTTATAGCAGCTTAATCCATAATTACCAAAACTGGAAGCAACCAAGATGTCCTTCAATAGGTGAATGGACAGGTGATCTGCAGTATATCCATGCAATGGAATATTATTCAGAGAATAAAAGAAATGAATTATCAAGCACAAAAGGACATGAATGAATCTTAACTGCATGCTGCTAAGTGAAAGAGGCCAGTATGATAAGGCTGCATATTATGTGACTCAAGTTATGTGACATTCTGAAAAAGGCAAAACTATAAAGATGATAGAAAGACCAGTGGTTTCCAGGAGCCCAGGGCAAGGGGGAGAAAGTTGAATAAGTGAAGGACAGGGGATTATTTAAGACAGTGAAACTATTCTGTATGATACTGTAATTATGGTTACATAACTTTATGCATGTGTAAATACCTATAGAACTTTAAAGAGTAAACCTTAATTTATGCAAATTAAAAAAAATCATTTAGGGGGTTGGGGGGATGTCCCAAGATGAAATGCAAAATTGTGACAAAACAATCTAACTGTTTTACAATGCATTGAACAACCTCACTGAAGGTTGTGGAGAAAAAAGGTGCTGACCTAAACAACTTTAGAAATGGAGCCTGTCAGACTAAAGCCTAAAAGAACTATACATAAGCACTCTTCTCTAATTGATAAAGTTGTTTCTTGTAGGAGTTCAAGTTAGTAATTCTGATACTGCTATACATGCATACTGGAACTGAGTAGTTAAATAAATGGATGGTCAATGGGGGAGCCAATTTTCTCACTATTGGTATGAGAGGTTACAGATAAGCAAGAGGAGAAGGCTGGATCATCCATGTGGGAGATGGCTTAAAGTGTGATTAAAGCAACTCCTATTAGTTTAATATAGATACATATGGCTACATATAGAAATGTTTATAGATAATATAGAAATATTTAAAGATAACAGAAATATTTATAAAGATGTATATATATATGTGGATTAGTATGTATGCAAATGTATTTCCTTGCTCTGTCTGCTGAGAGGGCCTAGAATTAATGACCTAGTAGCAATGAGTATACCTAGCTGCAAGATCTTGGTTTCTAATGTCATTCTCTAAGAAAAGAAACAACAGCTTAGGCAAGTGGCTGATTCTAAGACTATAGCAGAAAATATACAAGATGAGCATGGAGCATCTTATAGTGCCAAAAAGTAAGGCGATTTGGGGGGGGGGAACACACACACACACACAGACAAATGGGGATATTTCAAAGGGACAAAGAGCCAACTGAAATGATTCTCAATGGCCAAAGTTGAAACATTTGAACAACAAAATAAAGTACTGGATTGAAACCAAAAGCATAAAATAAATATATATGCATCTATACGGATATGAGTAAAGTATTGAATGAATAAATAAATAAATGAAGGCGATTAGGTAAATTTCCTGTACTAAAGAATTCCAACTAATTGCCTTCATTGAAGTGAAACATAATTCCCCATTCCTTAAATGGAGGTTGAAATTTCCTTCCAAAGAATACAGCATGGAAAGAAGGGAAAAAGAGTTACTTTATGTGGGAGAAACCTTACATACATTACTTCAGCCAGATAGATGATCAAGTTCAACATCAGTAGTAATGTCATGTTGATAGTATGTACCCTTGATCGAATACAATGAGAATGGCAATTTACTTCCATGGTCTTCTTCTCCAAAGCTCATAATCCTCATCTAATTATGAGAAAAATATCAGACTGGTTGTCTGATATTTTTCTCATAATTAGATGAGGATTATGGATGACTAAATGTAGTGGAGTATCCTAGATGGAATTCTGGAAAAGAGAAAAGAACATAAGGGAAAATCTGAGACATATAACTGAAGTATGAACTTTAGTTAATAATAATGTATCAATATTTGCCTCATTAATTGCAACAAATGTACCATACTCATATAAGATGTAATCATTAGAGAAAACTGGGTGTGGGGTATCTGGGAGCCCTCTGTACTATCTTTGTAATTTTCCTGTAAACCTAAAAGTGTTCTAAAATATTTGTTTTTTTAAAAACTTTACAATGCCTGGGACCATCCCTGAGATTTTGACTTAATTGGTCTGGGGTATGGCCTGACACTTGAGACTTAAAAAATTTCCCCAGGTTATTCTAATTTGTCTCCAGCAAATCACTACTCTAAGGCAAGGGATAGTATCTACAAACAGGCTGATTTTTCTTCCTTCTACCTTTTCTGTTTAATTATAATAAATGTTCTGACCTTATCCGTGTTAAAATAACAGTGTGACTTCATGATCTTGGTTGTTTGAATGTAGCAGTTCTTTAAATGTATAGCCAGTGATATGGAACTTGGAGAGTGATATTTCCTGGTAAATCAAAAATCTTGTTCCAGAAGCTTAAAATACCATAAAGAGTTTAGGTCAAGAGACAGTGAAGGGCAGATTATACTAAATGTATTGTCAGTTTAAATCCGTACATGATAGGAATGCCTTTATTTTCCCTCTGCTATGTTAGTCCATGTGTACTGGGAGATGAGATCTCTAAATTTTAGGTATAAAAGGTTTAGCTTTAATTCGATAGTAGATTTATTCTCCAAGGTTTGATTGTGACAAATGAGATAAAATATTACCTGCTGGCAAATGCAACTTAAAGTTTCAAGGACCATGAACTGAACCCAGACATCTATTTTTCCCATGCAGGGAAACTGGCAACAGGGGCTCCTGGGGACTATATCTGGAACTGGAGATGACTAACTTAAGCAATCAGTGAGGAGGAGGTACTTCTGATCCAGCACCCAGATGAACTTTGGTGCGGAGGCCAAGGAGCCCTACATCCTCACTTACAATTACAGCACTTCCTTTGGAAATGGTAAGACTATATTTTTAGACTTACACTATTTGCTTAAGATCCTAAAAGGCCGATAGATTGCTTCGTGCACATTAGGGTATCCAAAAGATTGTTTTTCCTATTGTATTTCTTCCTCAAGTAGTCATTAGTAAGAATTCTTGCTTTTTGTTAAAACCTGTAAGAATGTTAACCAACTGAAAAACTCGTTGATTGAATCTTACACCATGCTAAGCACTATATTTAAAAGTTAAAAAAAAATAGTGGCCTTTTATTCATTCACTCAAGTCATATTTAAATGAATACATTTTAAGCACCAGGCATCTGCTAGGTACTGAAGATTAAAAAATAATAATAAAACAAAAGACTTAGTAAGATTGAGTCTCCTTTCTTAAGTTGCCCACAGCCCAAGGCCTTGCGATCTAGGTCAGTGGCTATCAGCCTGGGGTGATTTTGCAAGGGCATTGGCGATGTCTGGAGTAATAGTCTGTTGTCACTACTAGGAGGGGTGGGAGATGCTGTGACATCTAATGAGTAGAGGCCAAGGATGCTACTGAACATCCTGCAATACACAATTCATCCCCCACAACAAAGAATTATCAGACCCAAAATGTCAGTAGTGCTAACATTGAGAAATCCTACAAACCTACTGGGCTTATCCTTAAACAGAAAGCACACTCTCCATGTGTGAGTTAAACAGAGTAAGCTGTAAAGCTACCTTCTGCCCTCCTTCTACTAGGTGGGGTTAGAATATCAGAGGGTCCCTAGTTGAGGGGAGAGTAGACCCCCCTACCCCCATCTTACCACTGAGGTGGGATATGGTGGTGACAACTGTTCAGAGGAAGGTCAGCCATTCTGACATCAGGTCCCAGCTGTTCTAACTATAACAGCCCCATGTCCAGTAATGGCCAGTTAAATCAGACTGCCCCAAAGAAAGGACCGGAGACTTCTTTTTATTGAGAGCAGTCAAACTTTCACAGTTAAGGCCAGATAAGCACAAGTCCTTTCAAATAATATTATTAAAAGCCAATGACACTCACAATTTAAACACAGCATTTGCACCTAAATTGAAACTACCATAAAAATGTTGTGTTGTTTTACTCATGTGTATGTTTTAACTACAAAGTTTTTTTAAAAAGTGGCCTTACAACCATGCTGTTCAATGTAGCTACTATCCATGCACGGTTATTCTAAAATTAGTTGACATTAAATAAAATGTAAAATTCATTCCTCAGGAGTACAGTCACATTTTAAGTGCTCATTAGCCATGTGACTACGGGCTACTATATTGAATGGTGTGAATACAGGACATTTCTATCTTCCCAGAAAGTTCTATTGGACAATACTGTCATATAATGCTCCTTATCAAAATGCATGGTTATTTCTAAAAAAAAAAAAAAAAAAAATTTTCTTGTTTCCTAGCAGCTGAGTCACTGGAGCAATGCTTTGCATTATCTCATTATCACTGTCTGTTAGAAAGGCACAGGCATGTTCTGCTGGGGGGACCATTTCTCTTCTGACAGAATTTTGTGAAGGGTTTATATAATGGATGGTGGATGACTTGTCAGATGATTGAAACTATGATTTTCCAGAAGGCGTAACCATGTAAAATCCAAGTAGATAACTCCTGTAAGGCATTTCTGATCTAAGTCAAGTGTGTATTGTTAAATATTAATTCCATTAAGAAATATCAGCAGGGAATTAAGATATGTGACCCAAATATCTTTCTTTCTTTTTGGTAACTGAGTGTAATAGAGAACTAGAGCTCAGTGGATCGCAACTGGAGATGGGGTGGGATGATGGGAGGAGGGGAGGATCCAAATATATTTTTAAAGTTCCTCATGTTATTCTAATGTACCCAATCCAGATAAGAATAGTTTAGAGATATGAAAAGAATGATTAGTTTACCCTTTACCATTGTATTATTGGAGAGATGGGTGTGGCTTATAAAAAAAAATCCTCACCTCTAGAAATTTTGATTTAGTACATATTGGGTGGGGCCTAGTCACTCCATCCTCTCTTGCTGTCTTTCTTTTAAATGACCTACTTGGCTACCCCTCTTCCTAGGTCATATAGGATGATTGACAGGGTTTAGGACAATGGTCTTAGGCAATTTTTTACAATATCAGGTGTTTCTAGCAAACTTTTACAAGTTAGTTTCACAATCTGTTCTTGGATGCATTTTCTGATCAGTGCCTGAAGTGACAATATAGTGTCCTGCTGATCAAAGTAGATGTCACATGCACAGAGGATGTGTTAGCCAGAGATGACAATCAGCTGAGGAAATTCTGGAATCCACTTAGTAATTTTTCTTGGGCTGAAGGGCACCTCACTTCTACAGAAAGGTGGGCCATGAGTATATGAGCAGGGCTGAAAATATTCTCCAAAATGACCTGTTCAAACCCTTGGATAACTATTCAGGTTGGGGACCCAGAGTTTGTTCATGGCTATTCCTAGCAATAAAGAAACCTGACACCTCCGTCGAGGGATACAAAACTTTAGTTTACTTTTCCCTAATCCTATTTCAACTCTGAGATTTTACATCACATTTTTCTTTTCTTTTTTTTTTTTCTTTTAAAGATATGGGCTACAATTCAGGATTAGGTATACAAGTGGACATCTTACAGGTAAAGTTTGGACTTCCCTTCTGTGCTCACTTTGCCTGGTTTGAGATCAGGTACTTTTACTGATGTTATGCATCCCCTCAACTCTGGCAGTATCCTGCTACTGCCAATCTCTTTTTATAGTATCATGATAAATGTTCAGAGTCTGCTTATGAGTAAGAACATGTGGTACTCTGTTCTTCGTTGCGGTTACACCACATTTTCAAGACCTGTTAACCCTGAGTGGACCTGTGTTTGTTTTTCACTTTCATTTTCTCAAGTTGATTTAGAATAACCTTACTTTCTGTGTTTTCCTCATTCCTGGTTTCAGATTTTCTTCTGGTGGAAATCTAGTTTTTCCCATGATATGTAAACTGTTGAACATTTGGAGTTTTAAAAGAATAGGGTGGAGCTCATATCATTGGGGAGCTATCCAAAATATGCATTCTTTTTGGTGGCATGATGTACAACATATGACATTAGAAAGAAATATTCTACCACTCTCAGAAAATGTCCAGCCCCAACTTCCTCCTCCTTTTAAGGACTTTAGAGCCTGGTGACTGATGGTGGAAGGAAGAGATGAAGCTATGAAGACTGGAGAAGTGAATCCATCAGTAGTTAAGTTTCCATTTCTAAAAGATCTTGGTAGATATTTCTTCTTTGAGTCTGTCCACGTTTGGGTTGTGGGAGGTGTGACTGCCCTAAGATTCTGGGAGCCACCAGGGTTTGTTTTCTCTAGATTACACAGCTAGAGGAAGGAAGATCTTAAAACCATGTAGAATTTAGGCTTAAAAGATTCACTAATGCCTTGAAAGAAAGGAAGAATTTTAGAGTGGTCTGCTGAAGACTGCGTCATTCATTAGTAAATATCGAGTATCTGCTATGTACCAGGCACTGTGGTACAATGTGCTAGTGTGGCATGAGAAAAATATGTATTTGGTCTTTGTCCTAGTTTCTGGCACAGAGCTTCTAGAACCCTTCGAAATTCCTGAGTGATAGGAGTTCTTTTGTAGGCTAATGAGATAACTAAAAAGCACAGTGCTTAGACAGCTTCATTAGTACTTCATTGAATATATACTTTCATGCCAAAGGAAATAAGAAGATAAGGACTGGTCACCTGAGGAACTAAACATCTGATTAGAGGGTTAGAACCATCAGACCTGCACTGCTGCCCTCCCCACCACCTCCTGAGAGGGGAGAGGGCTAGAGATTGAGTTCAATTACCAATGGCTGTTGATGTGAGGTTAAGGGGGGCTCCCAGTCAGTGGGCTGGTAAACACATTGATATATTAGGAGGGTGGCTTGCTGAGAGAGGGCTTTCAAATTTTGTGCACCCTGCCCCTATCCCCATCTTCCATTCCTTGCCTTCTATACGTCTTCCATTTGGCTGTTCCTGAGTTTTGTCCTTTATAATAAAAGTGTAATTGAAAGTAGAGAGCTTTCCTGAATTCTGTAAGTCATTCCAGCAAATTATTGAACCTGAGGAGTAGTTGTGGGAATCCTTAATTGTGATAGGCTGGGCAGATAGCCTGGGAGCATTATGTGCAGCTGGCATCTAAAGTGAGGGCATCTTGTGAAACCAAACCCTCGTGGGGTCTGTACGATTATAATTCTGGATAGCTAGTGTCTGAATTGAATTGAATTATTGCTGCCCAGTTGGTTTCAGAGAATCAGAGAACTGGTTGGTATCAGATGACATAGCTGGGGATAAAATGGTGAACAAGAGCAGACATGTTTCTGCTCTCAAAATTTGCAAATAGTGTCTCAAGGTGTGTGTTGGAGATATTCTGCACTATGCTGAGCTGAATCCAATCACCCCTCTACATCTACCCACCCTAGTCTTTAAAGACTGATCCTTATGGAGCTCATCAATGGGAACTCTTCTTGCTGTCTCCGCTTGGGCTTGAACAATGGGGTACCCTGAGCAGGAAATTGAAGGGAGAGAGGTAAGTGAAGACAGGGTATTGATTCCCTTCGTTCCTTCCTTGGGAGTCCACCTTGGATTGTGTCTACTTTCTAGGCAGTCTTCCCAACATAGCGTTCTCCCTCCTGGTTCTGGTAATTCCTCCTCCTCCTCACTTCCTTGTGCCTAGGGGTGGTGACAGCACTTCTACTTCTAATCTTGGGTTATTGCCTGCAAATTCTTATGCTTCTATTACACCCTTGTGAAGTACACCCTTGTGAAGAGTTTCCTAGTAAATAAACCTTCTTTGAATGATTCTAATATGAGTGTTCCATCCCACTGGGACACTGGCTGATATAAGTGCTGTCCATTTAAGTGTTGGATTTATGTTTGCCAAGAATGTTGATTTTTGTTTTAGTATTGTTGATGCTAAGTCAGCTATTCAGCTACTTAAGAAGGTCACCCTGGCTTGCAATGACAAAATCATTTTATAGAGTAGAATGCGTATCTTCCTATTT